AAAGCTAGCTGATAAGGTGGGAGAACCATTGATTTTGAACGTATTGCACGCTCGGAGGAATTTGGTTATATGGTTGTGTGGGTCCTCCGTTGGTCCTCCACCAAACTGATCAGATGAGACCATGTGGATGACAGCAGGTTTGATTTCAAAGTTGTTTGCAGTGACATCCGGCAGAATAATGCTGTTGTGTTCCGCCACAGGAGGAGTGACATAGTCAGAAAGAGTCCTCCTGTTCGGAACTTCATTTTGTCTTCTCTGAATTCCCTGCACATTTTAAAGAACATCGTTCCGTGGGACTTCCATTTTCTTTCTTTTTCGTATTTCTTTCAAATATTTTTCAATTTCTAGAAAGAAAAATTTTTCTTGATTAATCCCACGTGAACGCGTTAGCATAAAAAGAAAGGGATTGGGGAAGGTTGGAGAGAGAGGGGGGAGGGGAAAAGGGAAATAGAAGGAAAATAAAAAAGGGGGGGGGGAAATGAAAAGAGAAGGGAAAGGGGGAAAGGAAAAGAGAAGAGAGAAAAAAAATGTAATGTGCAAAAATTAATAAAAAGGCTCTCACTTAAGTCAAGAGGTAAAAACCACCGAGACAAGTGATACCTTAGTTAGTAGTTAGTGGTTAGAGTGCCAAGTGGTAATAAACCAACGAGGACACTAAAAAAAATAAAAAGAGTTAGCAATAATATATAGATATATAATATATAATATAAAATATAATATATATAGTATATATAATATATAGTATATATAATATTTAATATATAATATATAGTAGATATAATATATAATATATAGTATATAGATATAATGTCCAATAGCGGCTTTTCACGCCTGGAAAGAAAGAAAAAAAAATGCAGAAATGTAAAGTGCAGTAATTAAATGTACAAACCCTGTGACGGCTTTGCCGGTCAGCGGGAAAAATAAAGAAAGAAAGAAAAATGTTCAATCACCGTTGGCGGAAAATCCGACCTGTGGGATAGTTCAATATGTCCAAGTATGTCCAATATGTCCAAGTCAATATGTCCAAGTTCAATAAGTATCCAAGAGTAAAGGAACTTAAAGGAATTTTTTTTTTTCTGTTTTGTTTTTTTTTGAGGTTTTTTTTTCAGTTTTTTTTTAAGTTTTGTTTTTTTTTTGTTTTTTTTAGTACCTGCAAGAAGAGGTTAGGGAAAACAAAACAAATATTTACAACAAATAAACAATAAAACTTATGTTTAGAAAAAAAACTCAAACCGCCTCCCCAGCAACGGCGCCAAGTAGATTTGCAGTATAGAACGGGCAAAATAACTAAAAAGAACCCTTGTAAGTAGGGTGTCGAACCTCAGGGAGACGTGAGTTAATTTAATTTAAACAAAAGTTTACAAAAGAAGTTGTAAAATATTTTTGGGTTTTTTTTTTGGTTTTAGAGATAAAATAAAAAGTGTAAAAGGAGAGAGTTCCAAACAACACAAAGTTTTTGATGATGAAAAGTTAGGGGTAGAAATTGGTAAATTAATTGTCCAATGTTTTTATAAAAGTTGGATTGTCAATTTATTTTTATATAGAATGTGTGGGGTTGCAGAAAAGTATTTAGGGACGCTCTCGCAGTTCACCTAAATAATAACCACTCCGAATTTAACACGCTAATGATAAATCCGGAGTAATTATTTAATAACAGCGGCAACCATAATTATTTTATTGTATGTTTACCCAATTTAATAGTGTAAAAATACAACTCAATAATTATGTCCACCCGAAAGTCTTCAATCCCGGTTAAAGGTAGAGAA